AAAAAAAAAAGTAAATAAGAAAAAAGAAAAAGATGATAAAGGAGAAAAGATTCCCAGGACAAAAGGATAAACTCTGGCCTAAAATCAAGATTGGGGATTAGCTGAGGATTTAGGCTGTCCATGCTCTTCTTTGCTCCTAATTACCACAAGTAACTGAGAGGCATGGGCCAGCCAGAGCAGACAGAGCTGTTCTGCATGCTTATCCCGTCTTGGCTGGACACGTAAGAACCCGTGCCCTGGGCCTGCAGACGGGGTTTATGTTCGTCTGGTTCAGCCTAGTCTTTGTCTCTCCTGTCCCCCTCCCTGCCCACCCCTGCCCCACTTTAGTCCTGCTTTGCTCTGGCGCTACGTATAACTGATGGTAGAGAGGGCTCTGTGTTTTCTGGTGGCAAAGGCCTGACGGTGTTCTCATTTCTTCCACAGCATACTTTCCTGTTGTGTTTCTTCTCTTAGGCAGCCAGGGGTTTGTGAGTGAAACTTAAACCATCCATTGCCAGGTGGGGAGTGACCTGGCCCTCATTTCTTCTCTGCACCATCCCAGGATAGGATTATAGGGGTGGGTGTGCATGAATGTGTAAGAATGTGTGGTCAGGTATTCCCAGAAAGGCTTGATTCTTCCCTCTCCCCTGCTGTTTATGTCTTTCAAGTATTTACAGATGGTTCTGGTCCATTCTAATAGTTATTGGGCCAGATCTTCTAACCTTGTCATCTTCCCTGAATTTTCTTAAGCAGAGATTGAATGTTTTAGAACAGTGAGTGTCCACCTCTGGGGAGCTCCCTCTCTGAACCAATGGTCATGGAGAGACCCTTGAAATAACCCTCCTGTCTTGCATTCTGGAAGGTGACTTCTTGGTATCTGGGAAAACTGATGGTTGTGAATTTTAAGATTCATTTGGGAGGTGACTGAGAAGGGCAGAGGGTTACAATGGCCCTAAGGATGGGGCTGGCTTCTGGGTCCTCAGATGCCCCTTGGGACGTATTGATTAGTATTTGCATGCCTTCTGGAGAAGCACTGAAGGAATAATTGATCAATTGATTGATTGATTGGCTGAAGGGTCTAAGAGGGCTACAAAAATACTTATGAGTTGAGCAAGTCTAGGTATTTTAGTTATATATTGCTGTGTAAAAAACTACCCCAAAACTTAATGGCTTACAACGAAAATAACCTATTCTTTGTAATGTTTCTGTGGATTGGATGGGTGGTTCCTTGACTGGTTCCACCTGAACTCCCTCCTGGACTCATCCAGCTGTAGAGTCAGCTGGCCTGGAATGTCCAAGAAGACCTCACTCACACCTCTGGCCATTAGTACTGGCTGTGGGCTGAGCTGCTTCGGTTTTCCTCCATGTGGCCTTTCATCCTCCAGTGGGCTGGGCTGGCTTCCTTACCTAGTGGACTCGGAGTGGCTTCCAAGAAAGTGAAAATGGAACCTGCAAGGCCTCTTTAGGCCTAGATCTGGAGGTCACACACTGTCACCTCTGCCCTTTCCACTGGGCAAAGCCAATCAGAGTCAATGTGGAGGGGTCTACACGGGGCATGAATACAGGGAGGTGCAATTCACTGGGACCTTTTTGTAACAACCTACCACACTGAGTAAAAGAAAAATATAGGTTAGAATAAAAATCAGATTAGCACATGGCAGTGAGAGACGATACTGAAGAAAGAGGAAGCACATAGCCTAGGAGCAGACCGCCTGGGCCGGAATCCCCGCTCTGCCACTTCCTACTTGTATGACCTTGAGGAAATCACACAGCCAGTCCTTGTTCCTGGGTCCTCCTCTCTCGGTGAGGATAATAATAACACCTAGCTTAGAGGCCTGTGATGAGTTCAAAGTGAATTAATACAAGTAAAGTGCCCAGTAGCAAGCTTGGTACGTGGTAAACTCTCAAATAGATGTTAGCTAATATTCATTTTACCGTTCTGTAATGGAGGGTAGGTTACAAATTTGGCTTTGAGTTTTCCAGTTCCGAGGCAAAGAGGGAGAAATACTCGGGTACAAGATTTGTAGTGTGCATAAACTGATAAAAATCATTGGTTCAAAATAAGCTGTGCTGTGTCGAATGAGCAAGTACGTGTTTTTACACTCTTGATTTGGAAGGCAGCAGATTTGGGGTAGTCTGCAAAGCAGCTGACCTGGAAGAACGTCACACTGTAAAAATAAATGTATTTTTCCCCAAGAGCAAGTGCTTAGAGGGAGTAACCTCTGTCTAGAGTTGAACAAGACAGGCTTGACTGTCAGGAGCCTTTGACTGGGGTCCCAGCCCTCCTCTCTCTGGCCTGAGTGGCCTTGGGAAAATTCATGAACCTCTCCAAGCTCATCTTCCTTGTCTACAATATGGGCATAATAATGATGCCCACCTCATACGGACGAAGCAATCAGGCAAGTAAAGCCGTTAGTCTGTCGCCTGGCACACAGTACTCAATGAATATTTGCTTTGACTATTATTAGTATAAAGAGGATTTTAAGGGAGATTTTCTCTCTGTTGGAAGACAAACTCTCTGTGTACTTTTCACAAATGGTTAGTGCTGTTATTATAAATCATTCATGTCTCTCTTAGAGGGGCACCTGGACTTGTAGGGACTGTCATAAAGTAATAAACAAATAAACAAACAAACAAATAAATAAAAAAGTAATAAACCCAGCGTTTAGCCTTTTCTCTAATTCCATGCTACCCTCCATTTTTCCAAATTAGCGAGCTTCATCATTTGTATGGTTTTTATTCTCCATAGAGCTTCGTGCAGCCTCTGTGGAAGCTGGCTGTAAACATTTCAGAACATCCTTCAAGGACTTCCAGAAGTCTGACAGCCCCCAAACCATGGGTTCCCACCTCTCCTTAGATGGTTCTCCTCCACAGTTCTGCAGTTTCAGGATCCCCGGTGGTATGAAGTCAGGTTCATCATTTGCTCTGCCTCTGGGGAAGCTTCCTCCCCCATCTCTTTGCCTCTCGCTTTTGGTCTGTTTTATGGCTTCAGAATGTTGGCCTGGAGGATCTTAATTTAAAACCTCTGTCAGAGGTTGTTACATGAACGTGGTGCCAGTAAAAAAACTGTTTTCCTTTGGTTTTGCTGCTCTGTCGCCTTTTCCATGGCATGAAATACGAGGTAGGAAAATGAGGCTACCAAATTGGGGCTTGGGGAGCTGTTGAAAAACTCTTGCCTAATCCCCTGGAAGGTGCCATGGCTCCATCACAGCCAGGGGCTCAAGTCCAAATTCTGGGTCTTTAAGCCCAGTTTCACCAAGGCCCCTCTCTCGCCAATCAGCTTATGTCTCTTTCCTAAACTGCCTGTAGGGGCTATTTTGGTAGTAGTTATAATCCAGTTCAGAATCCCTAGTTTAATGTCTGTCAACCGTTTTAAACTCCTGTTCCTCTAGCCAAGGAGATTCTGTTTAGCTTTGCTGTGTCTGCATTATGAAAACAATAGTATTTTTTTTTCATTTTGCAAATTCAAAATTATATTTTAATAGTGAATATGCTATGCCTACCCATCTCCTGACCCTCAGATATTTTTATGCCCCTAAGGAATAGCCCCTTCCCCCTGTGATGGGAATCACTGGGCTCTTGCTTTTCAGCATTCCTCCTAGGAGGAGACACAGAATCCTTTCCCATCATCTGATGTCTCTCTGAGACAGCGTGGCACTGCTTTGTGTCTCTGTGTACACCTGCAATGTGTTTAAACATCTGCACGGTTCATACGTGTATCATTAATAGAGCCATTATTTCGAAGGGCTTGGCTCCTTTACAGTTGAGTTTGTGTAATTTTGATCATTTGTGCTGTTGTTCAGTGAGCAGCGTGTGTCTGCAGGTTGCTGATTCCTGGCTCTGAGAATGGTACGTTTGTAACACGCTGTGAAAATTTCATGGGATGCCCAAGCCTGTGTTCCTGTCATTTTCTTTAGGAGGAAAGTTGTGGAATAATGTTCATGAAAAAAATAAAGTAATAATAAAGTAAATAAATAGATAAATAAGTAGATAAAAAAGTAAGAGTACATATTTATGATACGATCCCGTTTATTGTAGAAAAAACCCAAGTAGGTGTGTGCATGTGTATTTGTGTGTGTGTATGTGCATAACAAAAGGGCCCAGGGGAGTAGTATTTAACTTTGGTGGGATTATGTGTTTTTCAAAATTTCCTTTATGACAAGAAAAGAAACCCAATATTATTTATTTTTAATAAATGAAAAACAACACACAACAACAAAAAAACAGGAAAGGAGAGTCAGGCAGGTAGACGGGTTGACTGGCTAGGATTTTCAGGTCCGGGGCCCTGTGGGTCTGAGGCCCCCTGGGCTGGCCGTCCCTGGCACAGGGCACCACACACCACCTCAGCCTGGGCCTGGCTCCGGGGAAACCGGGTTTGGCTGTTCAGACGTGTTCACACATTTCCTGAGGCTGCTGAGTGCAGACACCTTCCTGTGGGCCTGTCTCTCTTCTATTGGATGAAAGCAGTGTTGTGTAATGGGCTCAAGTCCATTCAACCTACTTTGTCTGGCCCTGTTGCAGGGTGGGAAGGAGCAGGATTGGGCCTTGTTCCTGCTTCTCTTGGACCTGAGCATCACTCCCCCAAGGCTGGCGGTCTGTGGCTCTGTCCCGCTGTGTCTGCGCTTGGGAGAGTGTCCACACACAGGCCTTCCTGCGTCAGCTTGTCAGCTTGAAGGGCAGTCAGGCTCCTGCACCCGCCTCTCTCAGAGAATTTCAGGAAATTTCACCCCCGAGGCAAACCACTGCTCTGATAAGGAGCGGCCCTAGAGTCCCTGGCTGGCGTGTTGCTGAGGTGGAGCATACTGGGTGTGAATGCTGATGAATCCTGGCAGCGGAGAGGGCTGCCGGGAGCTTCCGGGCTTCCAGTCCCTCACCAAGGGCGGCGTAGGAGACATAGCTCTCTGCGGTGATTCACCAGCTGAGCCTTCAGTTCCTTGGGGCCGGGCTGGGTCCTTGCATGGAGGGCAGCAATGATAAGTCACGAGAGTGATAGTCACCCCAGGCTGCATCTTCTCTTACAGAGAAAGTCCACTCGTGTGACCAAGAGAGGCAGAGTGCCCTGGAAGAGGCACAGCAGAATCCCCGGGAGGGCATCGTCATCCCGGAGTGCGCCCCTGGGGGGCTCTATAAGCCAGTGCAGTGCCACCAGTCCACTGGCTACTGCTGGTGTGTGCTGGTGGACACGGGGCGCCCACTGCCCGGGACCTCCACACGGTAAGCCCCCCAGAGCCTGTCCTGCGCCTCAGGTGGACCCTGGGGCAAGGAGCAGCTTCCTGTTAGGCTGGTACCTCGCATCTCCCGGCCTTACTGTCCTGGCCTGGTGCGCGTCCAGGCACTAGGAGAGCAGTGTTTTCATTCACGGGCAGATGAGGTTCTGCTAGAAAGACCTGGATCCTGGATTCTGGTATTTCCTTCCTAGCTGGAGAAGTAGGTAACCTCTTGAACCTTGGCTCACTGGTGAGAAGGTGATCGTCCTGCCTGAGTCACCAGGTTCTTTGGATCAAAAAGATCCTGTGTGCAGACGTAAGGTGACGTCGTCACACTAGAGTGATTAATATGACATGCCTGCACGTCTCATTGGGAGCATTGTAGCTGCTGGACAGCGCAGGAGATATTTTGCTGTCAGCATTGGAAGCTCTAGGCTTAGTGACAACACAGATCATTGCTGGCAGCAGTGGCTGCAGTCAGCTCAGTTCCCAGTCCCTCCTCACCTCCTGTATCTGTCTCTTCCCAGCTACGTGACGCCCAGTTGTGAGAGCGACGCCAGGGCCAAGAGTGCGGAGGTGGATGACCCCTTCAAGGACAGGGAGCTGCCAGGTGGGAGACAGCGCTGCCACTTGCTGGGCCTTCACCTCCTTCTGTTCCTCCACCCCCCCCCCTCATGCAGAAGCAGCTCCCTCCGCTGGGTCTGTTTCCCCATCTGCAAGATGGAGCAGAGATGCTAGGCAGGGGCATTGCAAGAGTGTGGAGCCAGGAGCCTTGGGATCTGCATCCAGTCTGGGATTTGTCTCTAATTGGCCCTGTGCCCTTGAGCACATTGTTTCTCTCCATGCTCTTACCTTTTGTCTTTAAAATGTAATCATTGGTTAAAATCCTATCCGAACAATTCTACAGTTCTTTCTCTACCTGAGGGTGATTGGGCCAATGTTCTGGGGGCTGGGAACCCTTTTTCCCAGGGCTGCGAAAAGGAGATAGCTTATGGAGAGGGGCTGCCCTGAGGGGTGTGGCAGTGTCTGTCGCCTATCCTGCAGAGTGAGAGTGCTTTTGCAATCAGCCCTGGTGGCCCAGGACTGTCACGGAGGTGACACAAGACACACAGGTAGGGGGCCCAGGACCTTTAAATGGCTGCTGTGCTGGGTTCCCTTAAGGATTTATAGTGTTCTCTGCCAGTGAGTTACAAGAAGATTACCAAATATCAGTGGCTTGGAACATAGTAGTCTTAATCAGTACAAACTCGGATCGATGCTGGTGGGAGCTGGGCCCACCTTCCCTTTCCCCATCAAGACTCCAAAGTGAGAGCTAAAGACAGAGGCTCCTGAAAGTCAGAGGGTTTCCAAGCAAGGTTTGTAGAAATCACCCTGTCACAGAATGGAGTCATGGCGCCAGGGTATCTCCTTCTAGTCATCCCCTCAACAAATGTGAATTGAGATTTAACTATATGCCAGGCATTGGGTATAATCTAGTGATCAGAATTGACCTGAGGCTTACATAGTGGGGGAGACAGCATGCAAATACGTGAATACAGACATATAAACAGTGGTGACAGGTGCTCTGAAGGGAAAGAGCTATGAGAAGGACAGGGAGAATCTACTCCAGAGTCTGTGGCTTCTCTGAGAAGGTAGCGATTCACCAGAGGGCTGGAGGATTTGGGGAGAGAAGGGAATGAAATAGTTGCTGCAGAAAGGAGAATGGTGGGTAGTGAGGGCCCATTTGGTGCTGGCAATCATGAATTTGTCCAGTTGTGTTGTGGCGTTTACACCAGCGATACTGAGCCTCATGAGTGTAGACTAGGAAAAGGTGTATCAGTGGGAAGGTTCATCTGTGCTTGGGGCTTTGCTGGAAGAGTGCGATGGAGGAAAAGAGAAGCAAAGGATTTGAGGGTATTTATAAGGGAGATTTGATCGTTATAATCTAAGTTGGATAAGGAAGGAAGTGGAAGAAGACGGAGGTTCTTGGATGGATAAACTGGTAGGTCCACTTGAGTCAACTTTGACCACTGGGGGTTCTCTCTGTCCCATGTGCCCCTGCAGCACCTGGTCCTTCCCTCTAGAGGAGCGTTTTCACTCTCTAGGAGGAGTGCCTGGTCATACTATACCACAACTAGCTTGAGTTCCCCAGTAGACTGTGAACTCATGAGGATGAGGACCCTAACATTTACCATAGTGCTGAGCCAATACTCGGCAAAATTTGTGGAATGGGAGAAAATGGAAAGCATTGTTATCCATTTGGTCTGATGGTCCCTCGTGGGCTGTGGGTGGAGCAACTGTGGAGGTTTATGAGAACTACCTGAGCAGTAAACAGTTCCCAAAGTGGACTTGGTTGGACGAAGAGGACTTGGAGAGGTTTGGGAACTGGTAGTTGAGGAAGCGTTTACTTGATTATTTACCTGGCACCTGCCTTCAAATCTCCCTTATTTTTCAGGCTGCCCAGAAGAGAAGAAAATGGAATTTATCACCAGCCTGCTGGATGCCCTCACCACTGACATGGTACAGGCCATTAACTCAGCAGCACCCACTGGAGGCGGGAGGTGAGAATGTGTGCAGGACTCAGGCCCAGCGGGGAATGTGGGGCCCCTGACTTTTCAGATGCTGCGGGAGGCTGGGAGAGCAGGGAGCGGTCAGGTAGGGCAAGGCTGGAAGTTGATCCTTTTCCTGAAACCCTGTAGCTATGGCTTTGTCCTACCTTCCGCCAAAAATCTCCCTGCCCCTCTCCCCTCCCTCTTCTTTGGGAGTTGCTTGTCTCTAGCTTGTAGTTACCTGATTTCAGGCAAGTCCAGGGGTGTCTGGAGACTTCCAGCACTTCAGTCTCAGAAGTGGATGCGTTGGAGTGAGAGTCCTGAATGGCAGGAAGGGGGATGGGCACATGATGGGGACAGGGAGGGCAGGGAGGTAGTAGAGAGCACTTGTTTTGCTTTTCTTCCGACAAGGCAGGAGCCATGTGCCGTTTTGGATTCCTGAGAATCCCACGGGGCTCTGGGCAGTGGGCTTGGACACTCCCATAGCCAAGTTCAACTTAGTTCAGGGGCTCATATACTGGCTGAGGTAGTCCTGACATGAGGCCATGCTCCCCAGTGACCAGCATCAACAGCAGTCACTTCTGTGGCCTGTTAGGCCAGTTGTTTGGAGCATGCAGGCCTGCATCCATCCATCCATTTGCTCAGCACCTCTTGAACACGCACAGTATGCCAAGCACTGGGCTGAGGACTGGGAATCCAGGGATATGAGGCATGTTCTTGCCTTCAAAGAATGCAGCCTAGTGGGGATACTAGGCTGCAGACAGATACTTACACACTGTATGCTAGGTGCTAGAACAGAGATAGAAAAAGAGAGAAGGGTTTGCTAACTTAGTCTGGAGGAGTGAGAGAAGGCTGCCTGGAGAAGGTGATAACTGAACTGAGTTTTGAAGGCTAGGTAAGACTTAGCCAGTAAAAGAAGGAAAGCCATTCCAGGAAAAAGGAAAGAATATTATGACTTCGAGAAAGTGCATGTCCATAGTTCAATGGCTGGGCTGGGGTGCGTGGGGTGGATGAGGAGGAGGAGGAGATAAGAGTGGTAATAGATGAGACAGAAGAGGCAGGCAGGAACCAGGTCCCAAAGGGCCTGTGAGATGTGCTTCCCATTATGAAGCCAGGCGGGGAGGCACAGCAGGGGCACTGTGGTCGGGGGTGTTCAGGCTCCTAGAGCAGCGGAGGAAGTACCATGTGGTTGGCGGGGATGAGCAGCCTGCCTCTGAGCTTATGTGGCTCACCAAGGAGGGGGCTAGTCCCCTGCATCTGCCTGGAGGAAGAGCTGACATCAACAAGGCGAAGAGTGCCACCACGATGACAGGCCCAGGCTCCCAGGCCTGTAGAAGGGCCCAAGCATGGCCGCCCTGGGGGTGCTCAGCAGGACCACAGGGTGTGTATCCAGGGTAGGGAACCAGGACTCCAAGCACAGCTGCCGGTGGTTCTGTGTCCTGAGGTGGAAGAGGCAGCCATCCTGAAAACCCAATTTTATGTTGCATCCAAGTGCGTGCAGTGGCTGCCTCGTGGTTGCCACTCTTGGAAACTGCTTGTCCGGGCACCTGCTCTCAGCACCCCCATGGTCCTGTGAGCCCTGAGGCTGGCTTCTGGCCCTGGCTCTGTTTTTGCTCACCTGTGGGTGGGGGCCAGGCCTCTCCGAGGAGGAGCACAGCACTATGTCTGAGGACATGGAGACAGGGTCTGACAGGCCGCAGACGGGAGCTGCTCGGAGACGCCCGTGGTGCTCCTACATAGAGAGGGCTGTGTCCCTATCTCCAAGAAGTGGGGGGGATTTTGAAATATTCAGTATGATGTGCCTTTATGTTGTTTATACTTAGAATAAAAAAAATTCCTGTTTCATGCAAAAATGGATATGAGAAATTTATGTTTATTAGAAGAGAGGGGAAAAAGGAAAAGAGGAGGGGACGTGGACTTAAAAATTCCAGGTCTGGGTGCTTCCTGCCCACAACTGCCCGAGGGCTGCTGGCTCTGACCACTGGCTCAGGGGCCTGCCTGGCACTTCAGTCCTCAGGAGACAAGACTTCCAGCTCCGTCCCACGTGCTTGCACGGGAGCCCAGCCCTCGAGCACCGGGGGGCCACCACTCCAGGCAGGCCGAGGGCGCCAACCCGGCTGAGTCCTGCCAGCAGGTAATGGGCCACTGGGCCGAGAGCACAGGTGGGCCCCGCTGCCAGGGGCAGTCAGATAGACACCTTGCCCTTGAATCGCAGGCTGATGGGATTTTCACAGAAAATAAAAACCAAGAAGTTTTTAATACCAGTGTGTCCTTAGGGAAGGGATTTTTTCTTCCAAAAAAAGCCTCTCTTTTAGGTATAATGTAGAGTTGGGAGAAGTTTAAAAAAATATTCTTTCCTAAACATGTTTTTCATTTTAAGCTCATGTTAGCTTGACTGTGGTTGGTTTTAATGAGAATGAAAGGTTTGAACTGCATTTGGTAGTTGTGTTACCCTGAGGCTGGACTTGTAATCATAAGACAGACAAAATGAACCCAAGACATAGGTTAGAAATCAAGGAAGGGGGTGGGAGGAAGCAGGAAGAGAGAGAAGCAGCTATACAGGGAGGTAGTTGGCCAGGGTTACTAGTTTTACTGGGTTTAAAGACCTCCCAGATCTTCCCATTGTATTTAGAGTAAGCCCTACCTCTCAGCTGGCCCTGCAGGATGGTCTTGCTGGCCTCTGGCCCTCCTCTCTGATTCCTCCCTCTCCCATCATTATGTTCCAGCTGCTAGTCCTCCTCAGCTCCTCAAACAGGCCAAGCTCTTGCCTGTCCCAGGGCCTCCATGCCAGCTGCTCCTTCAGCCTGGAGCTATAGGGCCCTGGTGACAAAGAAGCACCATGATTCCCCCATCTGCCTGTGACTGGCCCCTGCTTGACCATGTAAATGTCACCTTCTCAGACACCATGCACTCCAAAGGAGCTCCCCAGTCACCCTCCATCACGACACCTCTTTAATTCTCAGCCTGATTTATTTCTTGTCTGTCTCACCCCACCCAGTGAAAATTTAAGTTCCCTGAGAAAAGGAGTATTTTCTGCCTTCTTCCTTGCTGTGTTCCCCGAACTCAGAATAGAGTGGCACACAGTGGGTGCTCAATAAGTATTTGTTAAATGAATAAAAAGCTAGAAGGATGAGTAGATGGATGGGTAGATCCCTGGCTGATACAGAGAGGGATGTCACGATAAAGCATCTTTATCTTGACACACATCAGAGGGTCCACCAACTACTGCAAGACTAAATATGAGGCCAAATCCAGATGTCAAGTTCACCATGGTGCTTCTTTGTCACCAGGGCCCTACAGCTCCCTGGCTGGACCCGAGGGACTTGGGGCACCATGTGGACAGACCCTGGCCAGTCACTCCTTCTCTACGATGGAAGAGTGAAGGCACAGGGCAGCTAGGGGTTGGACAGCCCATCTGGAGCAGAGCTGATGAAGAGAGTTAGGGAATCCGGGCTTCCTGGGTTTGGGCCTTGGCTCTGAATTCAGGCAGAGTTCGAGTTGCAGGCACGAGGTCAAGGAAGCCACAGCTGATCTTTCCTGCATCCCCTCAGGGTCTGGCAATTAAGACTGGACGTCAGCTGAGGCCAGTGAGAAATAGTCCCACTCAGGGACACGGGGAAGAAAGGACAGGGAGGATGTCTGGGCAGTGCAGAAAAGGATGTTTTCCCCTGATCTACCGCCTGTCAGGCATGGATTTTGGCTTTGCACAAACTCTTATATCTCCACTCTCCTCTGGTATAAGCTTTGTGCCGAGTTCTGGGGACATACGGGGACAAGGACATGGTTTCTGGTCTGGAAGAAGAGATATGTAATCCTGTGATCACACTATAAAATCAGTGTGATGATAGAGGCAGATGAAGTGCTGCAGGGACTCAGGGGATGGAGGGCATGTGAGGGAAGGCTGTGCATAGGAGGTGACATTTGAGCGACATCTTTGCTTACGAGTGGGAAAATGCCCTGACCTAGAAGGACCAGAGGTGAGGACATCTCAGCAGAGGATCCCTAGGAGTAGTGAGGTGTGAACGAGGTAGGGCCTGTGGAAAGAATTGTAAGAAGTACGGTTTAAATTAGGGAATTAGGCTGTGGACAGGCAAAAGATGAGGCTGTGGAGTTGGGCAAAGCCCAGATCATGCTGGGCCTTGTGATTCATGCCAAAGAGGGCAGCAGGAAGCCACATGATTAGATGGGCATTTTTGAAGAATCATCCTGATGGCCTTATGGAAGCTGGATGGGAGGGGAACAAGACGGGGCAGAAGGTTACAGCAGTCGCCAGGGTGAAAGGTGAGGAGAGATGGACTAAAGCTACAGGGGAAGGATGGTTTATTGAAGCCTTAGTCATGAAATCAATAGGATTGGAAGACTTGTTAGATGCAGGGAGGGGAAGAGAGGGAGATGCCTACTTCCTTTTCTGGCCATCTAGCCTGATTTAGAGGGGAAAAGCAGTGTGACCCAAATCTAAAACATTGGGCAAGTAGAATGGAGTGTCTGTGGAAACATCTGTGGCTAGTGCATGGGAGGGGATGGCCTGCAAGTATCATTGGATAGTAGCCATTCTCAATGAAGGTTTGTCGGATGATTGAATTACCTCTTGGTCCTTCCCACCAGGGCTCCAGGAGGCAGAGCTCCCCCATAGATCAGTCCTCCCATGGCACCCATTAGCATTTATCAGTCCCAAGGGAAGAGTTCTGAGACCCTTGCTGGCAGAGTCTTCTCATTTTCTACCTGGCACTAGAGAAAGTCAACTTTGAGGGGAGGTGGGATGGACTGTGTGAGCCTCCTGGCCCCTGACATGGTCCCCCAAGGAGAGACTGTCTGTATTGTGGCTTCCTCCTTCCTGCCCAGTGTGGTTACTTGTTGATGGCCTTGCATGGACAAGGCTGGAATGTGGCTGACTTGGCATTTCCCAGCCCCACCCGCCTGCACAGCTGGTGGGGCCTGGACCCAACTCCAGATGGGGCTCAGTTGGTCTGCTTGGCTTGGCTAGTACTTCCAGGCCTTCCCACCTCACCTTCTTTAAAACTGCTTGGGACAGCAAAACTGGGCCCAAGGTCTTGGCCAAAGCAAGTTTCCTTGTGGTAAATGGGGCTGGCTTTCCAACTGTGCATTGCAGCCAAGCCCGGCAGAGCTGAGGCTGCAGAAGCAAAACTGAAAGTGCTGTAGGAGAAGGGCAGCACCTGCCACCTCTTGATGTGGGAGAAGACTCAGGGGCCAGTCCAGGGAGGGACCTGGCTCTAGTGGGTTTCCTCATCCCTGGAGGCAGGAGTCAATAGGACAGCCACCAAAACAGCCCAGAGGCAGGACAGACACGGCATTTTACTGAACCATGGTCTTCCAGAATCTGGAATTTGGTATCATTTGGGTGTGACTTTTCATACCATATCCAAGGAAACTTGGATGCTCTACTCACCCAATGAGCCCTTTTAGTAGAAGTGGAACTTTACCTGTAGGGAGGCCCATCGCATGGACCAGCCAATCACTGTCAGGTGGTCTTAAGGACCCACTGCACCCTCTCATGTAGGGTCCCCAGTCCTTGCCTGATGAGCAGCTTTGAATGCCAGCAGCCCTCATCTCCAGTGGGGGTTCGTGGGAGAGAGAGGTTTGAAGTTTGATGCCAGTGTAAACCTAGACCGGGGAGTGCAAGTTACCAATGTTTTTAAAGGATACTTCTAGAAAGCTGCAAGAGCTGGGGGGATCAGTGGGGTATGGCTTTGAGATTGGGGTAAATTGTGGGGAGTCTAACTCTGATGGAAAGGACTCCAGCAAAGACTGCTTGAGAGGTTCCTTAGAACTCTGGGGTCAGCCCTCCTGCCTTACCCCGTCCAGTGCTCCCCTGGGAAAATCTTAGGTTTTCCTTAGTTAACAGAGGCCTCTTGTGTCTGCTTTGACACATGGCCACTGCTGGTTTGGCTAAACCAGGACTCCTGATAGATCTGTCTTAACTAGACCTTGTGTGAAGCTCGGTAGGTCTGAGACTTAAGGTGGTTGCCAAGCCAGAAACCTGATTTACAGAGTTTTAAACCAGATGCCTTCAGGAGTTTCTTTTTTCTATTATGTTTCGTTGGAAATATGGAAACTACTCCCAAACCCCTCCCTTTACTGTCTTTTGTCTTAACTCCATCTTCTTCTAGAAGGTTCATGCTTAAATATTCTTCTGTGGCCGTGGCTGGAGTCTTCTTCTCTCTAGACCACGGGTTCTTCACCTGAGTCCGTGGACCCTGGATGAGGTTTAGGGAATCCATTAAACCCCTAAAATCTGCAGAGTTCTATGTGGATGTGCATTTTTCCAGAGAGAGGGACTATAGCTTGTTTAGGTTCTCAGAAGGGTCCATGATCTCCCAAAGCTAAGAAATTCTTGCTTTAAATGCACTTGGAGCTTGGCCTAGACAAAGTGTTGGGTTCCAAAGTAGGCCCGTAGCACTGCCAACTTCACATGTAGAACTGTGCTCTGTTATTGGGGTGTGGGTTTCTGGAGGTCAAAGGAGTTCAGAGCAGAGAACCTCACACTAGCTGGGGAGAAGGGAGGGAAGAAGCAGGACCCTCAGGCTCCACAGGGCGGGCTGTGGATTGTGGCAGTGTTATAAGGAGCCAGAGGCACTGCTTGGAGGGGTCTTGGAGGACCTCTCCTGGGGAAGTGTCCTTGGAGCCTCCAGGTTAGGAGGAGGAGGATGGAAGGCCAGCAATCAGTAGTCGTGGCTGCTCTGGGCTGTGAGGTCCTGCTGGGAGTGAGGAGGGCAGGAGAATGGTTGTCTGGACAAGAGAGACAGGACGGGAAGGGAGAGTCAGAAGAAAGGGAGGGGAAAGGGAGTAGGAGCCAAATGGCAGTCCCTCTCTGGCATGGGAGGAAACTCTTAGAGGCCAGAAAGTGGGGAGAAGAGCTGCTTCGTGCTTCGAACCAGCACTAAGGAAGGTGCAGGGAGCTCCCTCAATGGAGTTGCTGAGAACTGGACAGGCGGGAGCCCCAGGAACACATGTTGGAGGCAGCGAGCCTTCCCTGGCAAGGCGTGTGGATGGGATGACCTCATCCCTTCCCGTCTCAGCGACTGAGGCTTTATTATTCCAGCGTCTAGGTAGACATTACGCTATACTGAGCCTAAAGGTTAAATGAGGAGCTGCCTTCCCCTGGGACTCCCATGGTCCCCTGGCGGAGGGGCCTCCCTGGCCCCCTTAAGCCTCTGGTGGGAATAGCTGGAACACCTCTCTTGGGGCTCCTCCTGGCTCTCCTCCACAGCCTCACAGCCTAGGTCCTCCCTCGCATTCAGGGGAAGGCAGAGGCAGAAGAGCACTCCTACAGGGAGCTGGCCACCCTTCCTCCTGCGCCTTGAGCATCCTGATAGAGATTGTCTGCTGCCACCTGGTATACCCCGCAGAGCAGGCTTGAGAGTGAATGACGCAGCTAACGTAGAGGAAATACCATGTACTAGCAGAGACAAAAAGCTAAGCTCCACAGTGAATGGCTCCATGCTTGTCACAAAGACCTCCCCAACCCAGTTTGCATGGCAGACTAAGCAGATTCCCAAAGAGCCAGAGGCAGCCAGTCCCTCACACCTTCCCCAGGTACTCCCTGCGGTAAAGCTGTCAGGATGAGGTCCCACTGGCAGATCTACTAATTGTGCTCTCTTGGAAACAGTCCTGGGTGCCGCAGGGGGCCTGCCCAAGACTGCAATCCACTTAATTAGGAATGGGTGTTTAGCCCAGGGATGCCTGGCTTTTTTTGGTAATGCAACTCCTTTTTTCCTAAACAATAAAGTCATTTGGGGATGGGAAAGGGAGGGAGTTTGCTGGCTTCTTCATAAGGGAGGGGTCATGAATGGTCCCCACCCTTCTGGAAAACTTGGCAAACCCCAGAGAAGAACCCCAAGACATTGGCAAGTGCCTTGAATATTTTTCTTGCCAGGTACAGCTCCAGAATGTGCCGGCAGCCCCTGAACCCCTGGTGTAGGATCCCTGTGGAACAGTGAGCCACTCTGCCCCCACTTCTGACCCATGGTGCTCATGTGGTTGGTCCCAGTGCCCTGCAGGCTAGGTATATGAATGTATGAAACTTCCAACCTCAGTCTTATTCCCCCTACCAAGGGAAGGTACGCAGGAATTTGAACACAGAAGCCTGGACCACCTGCCAAGCCCCGGGAGCAGGAGCCACAGCATTCCTGTGGCTCTGTTCTGGTCAGACCCCAGTCACCCCCTCTGGACTAGACCCATCATTGGCTGTAAATGTTTTGAATATTAGCTAGCTCCCTGAATCCTTTTTGGGAAAAGATGTGGTAAGTAAATGAGTGAGTAAATAAGTAAATAAAATGGATGGGTAGGCCATGTGTACAGTTGCACGTGTAGACATTGTCACTGTATGGTCACCACATACACATGGGCTGTGTTAGACGTGGTCATTACAATGCATCTCGACACCAGGAAGCTCTCTTGGTTACTGTAGTCCAGTGTTTCTCAGCAGAATCCCGGGGTTCTAGTTAACATGTGGCTTCCTGGGCCCATCCCAGACCTCCTGACTTAAAACCTCTGTGTAGAGAGCTCACCCCTAGTAGGTCTGAGACTTGCCAGTTTTAGAACCTCTGTTCGTCCCAATTTCCCAGTTGACCCAATTGCCTTTTTCTCTGAATCCTACTGCACTGGATACCCGAGAGTGACGGACCATGGGAACATCACTCTTTACATTGATTTGTCACTGCCTGGTTTCACATTTTTGGCTGTGTCTCACTGAGACAGTGAGCAGCTTGAGGCCAGGGGCTATGTCTCCCACTTTGGAAGCCCTCCCAGGACCTGACCTGGTGCTGGGTGTGGCGCGGGCTCAGAGTACCCTTTCCCATAGTCACGTTCACTTGAGTGTACATGTTCATGTGTGAGGAGCAGCTTGTCTGGCAGTGAACACGAGGCCAGGAGGACAATTTGGATCCTAGTTGTGGTTTTCTCAAGTGAATTAAATACAGCCAGTATGTCTTGAGCACCTGTCTTGTACAAGAACATTCCTGGCTATGGTAGAGGGTGAGGCAGGTTCATGTAGTAAGGGTGACCCACTGGGGGACCCCAGAGAAATGAATCATTCAGTCTTGAGGCTCAAGTTGGAGAGGGTGGCTTGATTCTGTTGCAGGCTGAGTGGGTCTGGGAGGTCTTTGGCTTGGAGGAGCCATTTCTACCTGGCTGCCGGCAGCCCTGCATGAGTACCCTGGCATCTGTAAAGGAGTGAATCGTGGTGGGGCTGATGGTTCCTCCAGGATCCTGAGCAGTGTTCTCTGGGGTGGGGGTGTCTGCCTGTGGCCCAGGTTCTCGGAGCCAGACCCCAGCCACACCCTGGAGGAGCGAGTGGTGCACTGGTACTTCAGCCAGCTGGACACCAACAGCAGCAGCGACATTAACAAGCGAGAGATGAAGCCTTTCAAGCGCTACGTGAAGAAGAAAGCCAAGCCCAAGAAATGTGCCCGGCGTTTCACTGACTACTGTGACCTGAACAAGGACAAGGTCATCTCACTGCCCGAGCTGAAGGGCTGCCTGGGTGTTAGCAAAGAAGGTGAGTGCTCGCCCCTGTGCTCCTGCCCTTCCAGTGCTTGCCCCACCCGGGCACAGGGACTGAGGGCTCCCCCAGCAGATGAGATCCCAGGTACTCATTTATTCAAGTATTTACTGGGAGTGTGCTATGCTTCATGCTGGCTGCCTGACACAGAGGAGGAATTTACAGATAAGGTCCCTTTAATATCTGCCTATTCAGGAGACAGATATTAAAGTATTTACATACATTGTGATAAGTGCTATGAGAGTGTATGAGGATAGCCCAGGCTGCAGTGACAAGTAGACCCACACGTGTATTGGCTCAACACAGAGGAATTTTTTTTGTCTTGCCCATGTGATAATTCAGCATGGGGGGTATGTGTGTGTGTGTGTGTGTGTGTGTGTGTGTGTGTGTGTTTGTGTGTGTAGGGAAAGGAGTAGGAATGGGGATTGCTCCATGCACTCACTCTGAGATCCAGGCTGAGAATCACTCTGCCATCTTCATTATGTGGCTTCCAAGGTCACCCTGGGGGTCATCTCCAACCCCAGCCAGCCAGATGGAGTAAAGCATGGAGCAGTGCATGGGGGGGGTGGGTTCTATGGGCCAGTCCTGGAAGTGACACACATTACCTCTCATATTTCACTGGCTGGAACTCAGTCACCAGACCACACCCAACAGTAAGGAAGGCTGGGCACCCAGGAAGAGGGGGAGAGCATGGATCCTGGTGAACACCTAATCGTCTCCATCACAGTGGAGCAAGCGCAGAGTATTGTAGGAGCATATGGAGGGCATCTAAATCAGCTCAGGGCAGACAGCCTTGGAAAACTTCGTGAAGGATGCGATGTCAGCAAACCATGGCCCGTGGGCCCAATCTAGTCCATGGCCTGTTTTTGTTTGGCCTGTGAGCTAAGAATGGTTTTTGTATTTTTAAAAGGATGTAGTTTTCAAAAAAGAAGAATATATGACAGAGACTGTACATGGCCCACAAAGCCTAAAATATTTACTTTCTAGTCCTTTACAGGTAAGTTTGCCAACCTGTGGTCTAAACCCATACCTGAGGAATGGTGCGGCAGAGGCAGGGTTTGAACAATGACATTGCGCTGTGTCCTGTGGGAACACAGACATCCTCACAGCCAGGAGGGCCCAGAGTGATGGGGTCACTCACCCAGGGTCACATGCCCAAGAAGATGGCCAAGAGAGAGGTCAGGGGAGGGAAGAGTGTTCTAAGCTGAGGCAAATGAGGAGGGAAGATGTAGACGTGAGGAAACAGTTTTAGAGGAACTAGAAGATGTTAGTGTGATTTAGAGGAACTGCCAAATCTGAAGCTGGCAGGAGAGGGGAGGTGGCAGGAGGTGAGGTGAAAGATTTTCGACTTTATAAGGGCAGTGGAAAGCTGTTGAAGAGGTTCAGTGAAAGAAAGAATAGGATCAATTTTGCTTATAAAAATTATTCTGGCCGCAGTGTGCGAAATGGATTGGAGATGAGTAAAGCAGAGTCCCCAGGCATAGTCCAGGCAGGATATGATGGAAGCCCAAGTTCTGAAAAACACAGTGGAGGTAAAAAGAGGTAGGTGGATTTGAGATGCATAGAAAGTAAAACTGCAGGACTTGGTGGTTGAGTGGAGATAGGGATGAAGGTTGGTTTGGGCAACTGGAGGGTGGGCAGCCACTGAGATGGCAACATGGAAGGAAGAGCAGAGTAGGTGTAGGGGGATGGAGGAAGATGACGAGTATGGTTGGACATGTCAAGTTGGATGCACCCGAAAGATGAGAGAGTCTGTGGGCTGGTGAAGGCTCTGGGATGAAGGTACCACTTTGTGTGATGCTGGCATTTGAAATGGAATGGAATAATCCTATCTGAATTCTAATTTTAAATGGGAGTTTTGGACAAGCTGAGTTTGCCTAGGGAGAAGACATAAGGGCTTCTCCTTGTTCTAACCCTTGATTGACAGTGTAAACCCAAAGGGTAGCATGGGAAGTGGCTGAGTTACCACCAGGTACCCAGTCTCAGGCTGTGCCCCCTCCATCACTGGGTTCTGGTCCTGATTCTGGGGTATGTGACCCTGGGTGAGTGACCCCATCACTCTGGGCACTCCTGTCTGATGATGCTTCTCTGTGTTCCCATAGGTCACAGTGCAATGTCATGGTTCAAACCCTGCCTCTGCCACAGACTAGCTCTTCCACTCAACCATTCTGGATTTCAGTTTCTTCATCCGTAAAATTGGAATAACCATAGTATCTACCTTATAGGGCTATTGTGCTGATTAAATGGGACAGTGAGTGAAAGTACCTATCATAGTGCCTGAGACATTGAAAGAACTCAATAGAAGTTCAATATTACTATTCTTCTTCATAAGATTATTGCCTCTGTCAGTAGCACTTATCACACTCTATTGCAACTTACTTTTCTGATTCTCCCTTGAAGCCAGGACTGTGTCTTCTCAATTCTAACCTCTAGCACAGTATCTGGCACCTAGGATCCATTAGATCCTTGTCAAATGATTGAATGTATAGATGAGGGGGTTGCCCCTTGTGGTGACATCACACTTTGACAAACTTGGAATCTGTGCTCATTTCTCAGCACAGGTAGAGGGCCAATATTGGAAAGAGACCACCCAGGCCTACCCCAGCGCTTCTGGGCTCAGTGGGGATGGAATCATAGAGGTCTGTAGTGACTCTGCCCTCGGTCCCCTTCCTGTGCTGGTAGCTCTGGTCTACACAGCACACTGTGGCCAAGGGGAGGCTCAGTGTGGTGATCTTGGGTCCACAGAGCTCAGGGAGGCTTCCTAGCCTTCCCCTGAAGACTTGCCAGGCACCAGGTGTCTGCTCATCCCGGCTGATGCACAGGACCTGAAGGAAGCATCCAGCTCTGCCACTTACCAGCTCTGTAATCTTTGTCAAGTTACCTAGGCTCTCTGAGCCTCAGTTTCTTCATCTGCAAAATGGAGATGATAGTATCCACCTCACAGATTTGGTGTGAAGATTTAACAAGATGGTGTGTGTGAAGAACTTAGCCCAGTACCTGGTTCATGGTGAAAGTACAAAAGAAGTTAGTAGTAGTAGAGGAACACACCCGCGGACTCAGGCGGCTTCCCTCAGTCCCTCTACTCTGGGGAGCGGCAGAGAAGCCACTTGGGTAGGTGGTTTGTAGGGAATGGAGCCGAGGCGTTGGTCATCTGGTATCATGCGGTGCCCTCTGGTGGGCTGAGAGGGGCTTGCATGCCAGATAGGGGGATGGGAGCCGGTAGGGGGAGGATATGGAATTTGGACGTGTATGTAGCTTTGGGTCTGAGGGATGGAATTTTTTGGAAATGCCTCATGAACACAGGTATTTTTACCAACCAGCTCCTCCCTGGCAAGCTGAATTTTCTGCACAGCATGAAAAGGCCAGACATTCTGAGGGCTGAGCCTCTTTCTTAACTAGTCCTTACCAGTTTATAAAGCACTTTCATCTGGATTATTGTCACCATCCTGTGAGGCAGGCAGGCTGGAGAATGGTTCCTCCATTTAAAAAAAAATGCCAGCTCTTCCTTTGAAATGCCCGAGAATGCCCCCTACCCTGGGTTCAGGCTTTCCCTCCCCCCTGCCTTCCTTGGTGGTTAAAAGCATGGTTCTGGCAGCAGATAGCCGGGTCTGAGTTTGCTTCACCACATAAAAGTTATGCCATCTCCAAGCTTCAGTTTCATTATCATAAGATGGGGATGATCTTATCCTTTTATAATTATCATACACAGTTGCTATGAGGATTAAGTGACGTGACTTAGGGAAAAGGATCAGAGCAGTGGCCTTCACGATTGAGAGCTGGTTACCACTGCTGTACATGTACACTCCAAGTCTCGGTATGGTGGGCAGGCCGGCGGTCGGCCCTTTTCATGTGTGTAGATCTTTCCGCTCACCACTGAGAGAGGCAGCTGCTGATGGAGCAGGTGAAGGATGGAATTTGGAGCCAGGCACCCTGGCTCTGCCACTTCCCACCTGCCTGCCTTGTGCCTGTCATTGTCTTTCCCAGTTTGTTTCCTCATCCATAAAATTGGATATACCAATATCTACCCTGTGCCGCACCACCACCTTGTGTTCTGTCTCTCTTTCTCAGGTCTTAAGGGATGTTAGCATAACTGGGGAGACGTTGAGCTGTGGGTTCATGTGACCAATGGGTGGGTGTGGATTCCCGCAGCACTTTCTGCTCCTCGAAGCCCTTTCTCCACCTCCACGAATTCAGCCAATCCTCAAAGCAATCCTGTGAGAGAGGCAGAGCAGAAGCAGCACAGCTGTGGTCCTGATTCCTGTTCTATAGACCAACCCAGAGGAGTTCAGGGGCTTGCACAAAGTCACACAGCCTCCAGGGGTCATGCGGAGCTGGCCTAGCTCTTGGTGTGCTTGCCTCTCAGCTCCCCGCTCCTCGTTTAGGAGACCTGGGCCCTGCAGAAGCTTCCAAAATTGATCAGCACGCTGTAGGGCAGAGTGTGTTAGCAGAACAAGCCCTGGACCTTGGTTAAGTCACTCAACTGCTCTGAGCCTTGGTTTCCAGATTTCTTAAGTGAAGGGGCTGGACCAGATGATTGCTAAAATTCCTTCCACTTCCGCCATTCTGTGACTTGGAGAAGCAGGACCCACGAAGGTTATGCAAATTCCATCAGCACCAAAGCCCTTCTCAGCTAATAGCTGAGGGGATTCCAAAGAGGCACCCTGGGGGCCGGCCCCGTGGCATAGCGGTTAAGTGCTCGTGCTCCACTGCTGGTGGCCCGGGTTCGGATCCCGGGCGCGCACCGACGCACCACTTGTCAAGCCATGCTGTGGCGGCGTCCCATATAAAGTAGAGGAACATGGGCATGGATGTTAGCCCAGAGCCAGTCTTTCTCAGCAAAAAAGAGGAGGATTGACATGGATGTTAGCTCAGGGCTGGTCACACACAAAAAACCAAAAAACAAAAAGGCACCCTGGTGGGGACCTGGCCTTATTGAAAACGGACTTTGTTTAAAGGTGTTGGCCAGCAATGGGTTCACCCAAGCAGAACAGGGCCACCGACGCCCACAGAACAGGAAGCATGGCCACACAACCTCTGGCTCTTTCCCAAGCCCACTCTTCATTCTGGGGGTTAGAAAGGATAGGGACCCAGGTATAGAAGAAGCTCTCCCAGTTCTCTGGGTCAAGGCCACTCGAGTGTCAAATGTTCCTATTTGTTGCAGGTGGCAGTCTTGGCAGCGTCCCCCCGGGGAAAACAAACAGTCACAAACCCATTCAGTACGTTCCCTGCTTTCTGGGGTCCCCTTGATGGGTCCCCTAATGCAGCTTTGGTAGTGCAGCAGGAGTGAGGGATTGGCCAAGATACTTGGGATCCCATTTTTCAATTTTTTTGCTAAGGACACAAGAGAAAGATTGGTTAGTGCTACAAGGATCCTGCCATCCTCACCTATAAACAAGCACCTGCCACTTCTGCCCCAGCCCCAGGGAGAAAGGCTGGCATCGAGGAATATGGTTTGTACAGAGTGCACACCCCTGACTATGCTTACGAGGCAAAGCCTAGCTCTCTCTGGAATGCCAAACTTATTTCAGTTGCCACTGTGATGGCTCGTGGTGGCAAAGGATGGGCTGGTAAAACATGGGCCTATCTGCAATTCTAGGCTACCTGTGTCCCACCCAGCCCCATATCTAACAGCAGGTGGAAAAGGCTGCTCTTGTGAGGAAATTGATACATGTAGTTGGATTTCTCATAAACCCAACTCTAACTTCCTCTTGCTTATCCCTCCTCTTCTCAGTAGGACGCCTCATCTAAGGAGCAGAAAAGCAAAGGGCAGGTGGAGAGACCAGGGAAGCAAGATGGATCACCAGACACCTAACCCTTGACGTTGCCCACGGCCCAGCCACACGCCATGTAACATAAGTGGTGCCCACCATGTTTGCACTTTTAATAACTCGCATTTGTGTGTTTTCTTTTTGGTTTCATTTTAAAACACCATTATCTAATACCACAGTGGGAAAAGGAAAGGGAAGAAAGACTGGTTATTCTCTCTCTTATTGTAAGTTTTTGGATCTGCTACTGACAACTTTTAGGTTTTTTGGGGGGGAGGGTGTTGTTGGGACTGAGAAGAAAGAGATTTATATACTGTATATAAATATATATGTAAATTGTATAGTTCTTTTGTACAGGCGTTGGCATTGCTGTTTGTTAATTCCCCTCCCTCTCCCTCCTGGGGGTTGTGGGGGTTCTGGGCACACAGCCCAGCTTTCTAGAACCCAGGACTCTGTCCCCAGCCCACCTGGATTCCGTTTGGAGACTGACCCCTGTGTGCATATAGATGAGAGCCCTGTGATTATATTGCAGACTCCATCTGTTCTTTTCTGGTGGGAGGAGGGAACCGCCTCATGCCATAGCTGTCAAGGTTGGCAAGTCACTTGGCGGTTGGCCTTCTTAAGGGAGATTGGGTTGGGGAAGAGATGAGAGTTGCCCCTGGAGGGAGGGCAATAGCCAGCATAGACACCAGTTCTCCCATGCCTGTGTGTTCCTGCTATCCAGACCCCCAGGTGGCCCAGAACCTCTGGCACCAGCATCCCAGTGACCCACTGAGCACATTATCCTCAGAAGATTTACATTAGGTCAGTTGAAACATTTTCACCCATGTTTAGCATCTACTCTGTGTAAAGAATGAGAGGGGAGGCAAAGAAGAAAAAGACACTCAGTGGGGCGCTTTATTTAGCAGATGTTTAATATTTAAGCAGTGGAGGGAAGAGGACAGAAAGCCTGCACTGGTGAGGGCGGTGCCAGTAGGAAGCCTTCTCTTCCTGCAAACCCACAAATGAGGCTTCCGGAGACAGCTCTCTCAGCACAGCCTGGGCAGGGGGGGTTTCACCTCCATTTGCCTGTGTCTCGCCCTGCCGTCCTCAGTGGTTAGCACGAGCCTGAGGGAGGAGCTGGGTTGATCACCTTGTTGGTAACTAAATGGTTTTATTTTTTTTAACCCAATACTGAGGTTCTTCCTGTTCCCTCAGATGTTCTTAAGGGCTTCCAGGCTTGAGGCCAATCCCAGAAGCAAAATTGCTCTTGGACCTCCCACTTCTGCCTCCCCTAGAAGTGCAGGGATAATAACCAGCTCTGGGGAGATCCAGGCTGAGCTTTTCACGGTTTTACTGGGGTTCCAGTGTGGGCAGCCCAGCCTTTGGGTCAGACACGCGGCTTCCTCTGCCCAGGTGACCATGCGCCTTCAGACAGCCTTCAGACAGACAGCAACAAGTGACACTTAGCGCCTCTTCCCGTGAGCAGCCGTGGGACAGCGAGGGAGGGCGGGTAGCCCAGGACTGGTGTCCTTATCAGATTGCTCTTGGAAATGTGACGTTTACTCGTATCCTGTCCCAGAATTCCCATAAGTGCATCCACTTTGGCAGACTGTGTATCCCGTTTCGGGTCTGGGAGGCATTGGCCCACACAAGGCCCTGCTTGGGGGAGTACCCCAGTGGGGAGGAGCCTGGCCTTCTCAGGGCATGGTCTGAAGGTTCTTGCTCTCCTGGTGAAAGTCCTAGAGGTTGTTTCAGGGTGACTGGTGGCCCCATCCCAACATGGTAAGATGGAAAAGGAGCCCTCACCCATTAGCCTAGACCAGAAAACTCAGTACACTGGAGCTGGATGGACCTTCCAGGAGACCCCAGCCCCTTCTCTGGCCTGGAGTAAGCATGTAAACACACAGAAGGCACCTCCTTGTAGAAATTCAGAATCTCCCCCAGGTGTCTTCTCTCTCACGTATGTGTAGGCTGTGTTGTGTGGTTTTCCTTTGTGAGGAGGGAAAGAGACTATTTGTAGCTTGTTTTATAAAAAATAAAAATGAGTAAACCTTGGCGGCTGTTGCCTCTTTCTTTGGGTGACTTCCTCTGATGGAAAGGCTTCATTTCCTAAAAGGAAGTGTTTTCCCTGGCCTAGGTGCCCTTCACTCTGATTCTGGGAAGTCCAAGTTGCTGGACCAGAAGGGAACCCAGAAGTGGCCATGAGGTGGCACTATGCTTTGCTGTGAGGACATTGACGGGCCCCCTTGGTCCTCGCCTACAATGTTTGAGCCCTCTTTGTACTTCTCCCTCTTCTCTCCACCCATACAGCTGCCCCCCCACCCCCAAACCATCATTGGAATGTAGGGAATGTTACTGGCAGCGCTTTGGGAGCAGGGCTGGAGGGAAGCCCATTCCATGGCCTCAGTCTGGTGGGAGTGGGGACTTTGGCTATAATCCAGATCACCAGACCCTAGGCTGGCATGCAGCTGTAGAGAAGAGGCCAACCCCAATGGGGTTCATGCTATATGTGCCCCAGTTTTGTAGGGTACACATTTAGGTCGAGGCTGCTGGTCTGGTTCAAAGAGCTGGAGGACTTCAGCTGGGGACTGGTGGCAGAGATGGGGGCTGTAGATTTTTGAGTGTTACTAGCATCTTTTCCTTTTGCCCCCTCTCTCCACACACAGCTGCCCCTGGACATGGCCTCCTTGCCACCCTCTGAGAACCTCCTCCTGATTCCTTTTGCCACACTCTACCTCCTTGTCCTTTGTAGGTAAACAGAAGATCATCCTCTTGAAAAGTTCTCCCCCAGCCCTTTCCCCAGCAGAGCTTTCCTGGGAAAGGGTCTAAGCCCTTGAATGTGGTCACACAGGTCCCTCCTCCTCTAGGGCTGACACTGTGTCCATGGTGTCTACAGGCCCTGTCATATTTAATACCACAGCCCAGTGAGACAAGTGTCATTGTCCCCATTTCACGAGTGTGGGTTCAGTCTCAGGAGTTCACTGACTCACTGGGTACTACCCAGCTGGAAACAGCAGAGCCAGGAGTGACCCTCAGATTTTCTGAGTGCAGGCTGGGAGCTCCGCCCACTCCCGGCTGCCTTCCTTGAGGGGCTAGAACGGCAGCCTTCTCCTCCTGTCCAGGTCAGACCCAGGGTGGTTGCATTCAGCTGAGAGTGCATTTTCTTCTCTGAGCAATTTAGGGTCTTATTAAAAGTCACTAATTTGCAGAGGCCTATCATAGGCTTCCAGGATTTGGGGAAGAGAAATAAGGGAGGCGTTTGCCCACGTAGAACCTCATCGGGAGACTTGGGGTTGACTTAGCCTCCAGTAGAGAGAGCAGCTTGGTGTGGGAAGGGGGCAGGTCTGGGCTCACATTTGACTGCAGGGCCATCCTACAGCCCCATTCTGCCGTCCTCTGCTTTCTTCAAGGACAAGAGAACCATTACCAGTAGCAGTCAAGAAAAAGTGAAAAATCCAGCCTGTCTCTTCCTTCACCGAGAGTCTCCTGAGTCATGCTTAGCCTCTGTAGGGAGAGGAAGACTGTGGATATTTTTAGTTGGTATGTTGAAAGATGACCAGGGCCAGGGATCTTGTTAGGGTCCTATGATGCCATCAAAGGAGGGGCCTCTAGGCTGGTACTCACCGCTGGTACCCAAGGGGATCTGGGTGGATGGGAAGCTGGCAGCACCAATCCCCTTGTAGAAAAAACCCAGAGATAGCCAGGCTGGTCATCTGGCCATTTACTGCCAAGTTACTGAATGACCCACAAGGACATAGGTGTGCTGACCAAGGAGGCTGACCTTCCCAGGCACCCTAATCTTCTGGTCTGTGGCATTTGGCTTTTTTCCATTGCACAGGTGGGGAGAGGCAAAACTTGACCTTTTTCATGCAGTGCCACTAAATCAAGCCCTCAATCCTAGGGCCTGGATCACTACTCCCCTTCGTGTGACTTTCATGAATTGATATGGGGAAGGTCATGACTGTGGTTATATGACTGCCTACTAAATGCCTATGCTAGGTACGTGACACAGGTATCTCTTGTCAGCTCTAGGCGAGCACTCTGGCCAATTCTTTCTACTCTTCTGTGTCCCCCAGCCAACACCTCATCAATGCAGCTTCAGCCCTCCCCTGTCTGCGCCGCCTCTTTTTCCTATAACAAGGTGTCCTCTTTGACAAGGTGAAGGTCCCTTCACCTGATGTCTTCCTAGCCAAAGCTTTGACTCTAGCTAATGGTCCACGATCCTGAATGTGGTACCTTCAGACCAGGGCAACGCTGATCATTCACACACTTGATGGTGGAAGGGCACTGAATACTTGGATGTGGTCTCCCCACAAGATGATGGGCACATTGCTCATCATTCGTGAGAATCAGTCAGGAGAGACCTACACTCCCCCAATCAGAGTGCCTTAAATCACAAAGGTGCTCTCACTCCTGCAACATAGCCACCATACATCAGCAGGGGGCGCTTCTCTTCATTGTTCACTCAAGGACCCAGGCTGAGGGAGGCTCCATCCTCCGTGACTGTGGAGGCCAAAAAAAAAAAAAAAAGGGGAACATGGTAAATTACACCCTGGTTCTTAAGGCTTCCATTGGGAAGTGACATCTGTCACTTTGCTCACATTCAATGACTAAAGCAAATCACATGGTCTCACCTAACTCAAAGGCAGCTGGGAAGTGCCCAGAAGTAGAATCAGAAATACTTGGTGAATAACTCTGGTGACTATCACAATGTAGATTATCTCTGTGTTTTCTTTTCTATACTAATTAAAAATCTACGATTTTTACATTGTCCAAGAGCCAAAAGACTTGCTTTTCACAGTTTAAATGGTGCATTTTATGTACATTGCTTCTGACGGATCTATCACATTTATGACAATGACCATTTTGCCCAGTAAAGCAGAGGGTGAAAGCACTTTACCTCCTGTGAGTTCCCAGCTTCCCACCTGGAAGCTACATCTCAGGTAACTGAGGTCCCCTGGTGCTTGAGAACTTGGAGAGGGGAGGGGAGTCCCAGGTAACTTTGGGTGAAAACAGTTGGTTGAGGAATCTCAGTGCACTCAGGTACAAATGTGAAACTTCTCTGCAATCACTGCTTTTGGCTGTGCTCTGCTGCATCTTCCTTCCACTGTGTAGTAGGTCCCTTATGACAACTTGGGTAGTTCCCATAACTTCCTGGTTACTTCACTTCTTTACAAGCTCAGTTCAGTCCAATTACAAAACTTCAATCTCCAGCTTGATTTAGCTCCTCCTCCCTTCCTGCCCTGGCGCCATCTTGAGCTGGCATCCTGACTGCTCGGAGGAGAGCAGGGGACTATGGTCAGGCTCTGAGGCAGTTCTTCCTCAACTTTATCATGACTCAGCTCCTCTGAGGTGATAGGGTGGGGAGGAGGGAAAGGAAAACCATGACGGTCTCCTCACAGACAACAGTTGTAGCCCTCTCTGTTCATTGTGGCAGCTTCTCAGACTAGCGCTGGCTTGCCCACTGCGTGGTAGGTGCCCAAATGCAGGCTCTCGTGTGGGGCCCATGTTGGGTCCTAGGGCTGGCCTCCCCACTGCACAGGGCCTTTACGTGGGAAGTCCCGCTCTGCCTTGACCCCTTCCACACTTCCCCACACCAATATACCCCACATCCACTTTGTTCTAAGGACCCTGCCTTTCATTTTGTACCTGTAATATGGTTCACACTTGACTCCCTTCTAGGCTGTCCTTCACCCATGGGAAACTCACACATCTGTGCCATACCAAATGGCGAGGTGCATGTTGATCCTCAATGCCTCTTCTCTTGGCTCTGCATCTCTCTCCCTTCTCTCTTCCCTTGCTTCACTAGGTAGAGCAGGCTGATCTGCAAGTACGCTACCTTGCAGATGTCCCACTGGGAAATGAGATGGCAGGCCTGCAGCTGGCCTAAATCCCTAGGAGCAATTCTCTCAGAGGCTCCTGCTTTTTCAGCTTCAAGGAGGAGGAGAGGAAGCAATCCAGTGACTCTTGGCTCTCTCTCTCCTCTCTCTTCCCCAGCCTTCTTTTATAGATTGGAATGGGGAGGGGTGGCTGGTTGCAGAGCTATTTCAAGTATCCTACTATCTTTGGGAGGGGGTCAAGCTCTAACTGTTATTCTTTAGGCTATGGGATACCTAGCATCTCTTTTTTCTTAGTTTTGGTCCCTAATCACCAAGTCTGGGGAAATAGAAAATATCCCCTCTCAAAGTCCTGTTATGGTGGGTTTAGTGATAGATGCAGGAGAAATTGATCCTGGAAGGAATCCCCCCCACCCATCATGGAGGATGAAGGAGCCCCACTGTGTCCTGGGCACACAGCAGCTCCAACCCCAGGCCCAGGAACCATCAGGTTCCTGCCATCAGAACCGTAATGGGCCTGCTGCCCTAGACAACTCTGTCCTGGGGCCCCAGACTCCTGTCTACCCCAGGGCCAGGTAGGACCCCTGGGACCCACTCGTCTCCACTCCTCACACGGGCCTCCACGCTGTATAAATACATCTTCTCAATTCCCATGAGTGACCTATTTCCTTTACTCTTTAACCCCTTGCAATGCTGGTGATGGAAGGAGTTGAGTCTTTTTAAGGGGAGTGGTTTTAGAGATGTCACATGTAGCTGCAAATGGAAACCCCAATCTTTTCACTTCTTCCATCCTCCCTACTGCCCAGTGTTTAACAATTCTTTCCTACGGGCATACCTCCTCCCTGTTAAAGATGCGAACTCTGCTTTTTGAAGGGTCACTCTTGAGACCTAGGTAAAGCTATGCTGGGCTGAGCTGATTCCAGAAAGTTTTATCTGATCCCCTTGAACATAGGTCCATTCAAAATCCTTGATTTTGTGGGATAGGCCTGGTGGAGACTAGGACCCTGCAAAGCCCAGAGACCAGAGCAGGACTACTAGCTTGGGGCAGGAGGGTCAAGAGAGCTTTGCAGCATTCTTCTTGTGGAGTGGGGTGGGGAGTCAGCAGGAGATGGTCAGGAGGACCTCTGGGCAGCAGCAAGGGCCCAGCAGAGGTGAGAGTAGGGGGTCTGTGTGGACCCAGCCACTTGGTGGTGTTAGTTTCCCACATGTTTCAGAAAGA